ACAACCGACGGAGCCGCATCAGTCAGATGCGCGGACATAACCAATCGAAATGCAAGGACACCATCAGGAACAGGCGGAGCCAACGATTGCAGTCCGCAGGTCTAGCAGTCAGACAAGCCAGATTGACGGGGCACTCTTAAGGGAAGAGAGTTGTGGTGATCCAGACTTCCGGGACCGCAATCCATGCACGACTAGGTACAGTTTCATGTCACCCAATCATCGTTCAGGAAGCTCGACCAATGGTACACCGGGCGAACATGACATCCGAGTTGGCACATATGATACGTCGGTGCAAACGGTTACGGGATTAGAGGATGTTCGTTCAACCAACGATATGGGCTATTACATTCTATAAAACATGATCTAATTCCATCAATAAATATAAGCATTTTCTGCCACAATTCCTCGTGTATTTCATTGGTGTCCGCAGTTCGGGTTGGAGCCAATTCAGTTCTGAGTAGTACAGTACGGACTCTCGTATTCCTACATTCAATACGATTCCGATAACTACAGACAGCCTCGTACTGTTTTCATATGCAGTCTCGCCTGTGCCATGACTGTACTCCTGGGGTTCCAACAGAGCAGCGCTTACAACGAGGAACATCATATAAACCTATTTCACCCACCCACCTACCACACTTCGTAGCGACGCAGTGTTCGTAAGATGGCTAACCTCGATTGAAACGACATGCACTGTACTGGAAAACCTATCAGAGAAGCGAAATAATTATTATTATATTGTGGCAGAAACGCGAACTCTTCGTCAGATGTTGGTAAAATACGATTGTACAGGCAGAATATGAGTAAGAAAAGAGAAAATAATGAATAGAAGTGGAACGCGCACGCTCCAGGATGAAGTGAAAATGCAATTTCCGCATCGGATGGAAGCCTAAACAAGGGCGCCCACGAGAGGCTAAGTGAAATCCATGGGGCAAAAAGAAAAGAAAAAGAACCGTGGAATAAATGCTGGTTGAGTGGGAAGTCGGAGAAAAATCAACGGGAAAACATTGGCAGAGTAAATTCATTAGGTGAACGTGGATTGGCGCGAGAACCGAAAATTATTTGATGAACGACTGAAACTGAAGGGACTGTGTGTGCATTAAGGTATGGCGAGGAAGTATCGCAGATGAGCTGCTTTTGGGCACAACACACGTGGCAATGTGCTTTTGTTAACTGTAAGGAGTCGAAGTGAGACGCGGCGAGCGTGGAGATTCAAACACTTCATGTTCCCATAGAAATTCCGCAGGACGACAAACTCCCGCCTCCGAATCGTGGTCTAAACCGCTGAATCCAACAAATCCAGAGTCAACCAATTCATGACAAGTGGGAGCCTGAGGATTTCCATTAAGTAGTGTGTCCGGAAGGTAGGTCGAGGGGGAAACCAACAGGTTCGAGTGTGGGATTGCCGTAGTGCTTGCGATCGGATTTACACACGAGGTTTCGGAGACCAGCGCCTCCGAATTAGCCCAGCGACTGGGTACGCGCTTGGTTTGGGATAGTTTGGAAAAACCATCGCCGGTTGTTGCCAAATTATTGCACGCTTTCTGAAACTGTGTTGGACTACCGGCTAGGGGTAAAACAGCAACGGGACGCGAAAAGGACGGTGCATGACGCCTGGGTCGAACGGGAAACAGATTGGCCTCGGTGAACCGGCGACCTTCGAGGGTATCAAAGTCGTTCTGCTCGAATCCCGAGTCGTAGGCTGTTGTTCCGTTGGTCGGTTCAGCTAAACGTGTGGGTATGGTGGAAGCTCTTCGAGAAACCTGAGGAGATGTGGTACCTATTGCAGAAAAATCAGTGATCACCAGGAGTCAAGAATACTTAAGAATGTCATGAATACCACTGAAAAGAATAGAAAAACAAAGAACATTTGAAATCAAACGGACAGGGCAGTTCTAAATGAAATACTACAGCACACTGTTACGAAATTCAAGTCAAGTCAAGTATTGGCTTTATGCACTCCGAAAGGTGAATATTCTGCAAGAGGAAAGATACAACCAAATCACCTTTGTCAAAAGCACCTTGAATTCATGGACAGAAAGAATGTATCGCATATTCCTAAAGAGTGGCTTTGTGCTAAGATCCTTTTGCCAGAAGAGGTAGAAAATTTGCACTCGGATTATGATAATGCTTGTTCTTGTTCTTATGAAATTCCTAAAGGGAACTAAATGTATGAAAACAATGATAAAACATAACGCGCCCGTTTAACAATCTCGGAGTGCAATGGGTAATGTAATACTACAGTGCGTATCATCAAAACCTTATATCGTTTTTTAGGTAACTGTCAAACTAGACCACTAGCACACATTTTGAGGAAAACACGAAGTACGGAGCAAGATTAGTTTTTGGAGATTTACTAGTCAGACAGGAGGAATTGCCATAGATCAACATTTGTGTGAATTAATGCAACCCCCTATCAGCTTCTTTGTATAAGTCAGCACTTCCATTTGATCNTTGTTCTTTGCCCACTGCTCAACCCTTATCATGATTTCGTTGCGACTGCACTTACTTTACTCCAACTCTCTCACTCTCTATCTCTGCCCTTCTCAATTACCCGGCTCACCAACTGGAAGTACCTATCGCTACTGTAGTGTACTTACGACCCCGCAATGTTGAAATTGGATGCAAAGCCACTTTGGATACTAACAGCCATGTTCTCTTCAACATTTTAAAAACGCTGCTCTCGTGTGCTTGTCCCATTATTCTCTAAATCTACCGTAACCTAGACCTGTTTGTCCAACCACTCCTAGCTCCGTCGATTTCTCTTTGATAAATGTTTTACAGATCCCTATTTTCTTCTTGTACCCCACGCAAGATTAGTTCCTTAAATCACACTGGAAGCTTATTTATTTACCCACATGCTCTGCTCTGTACATAACCTAAAGCAGCCTTACGATTGGGTCCTACCTTTACCGATGAGGTCCTCATTTCATGTTTTCTCTATTTTCAAGTCGACTAGTGGTGATGCGCTTCAATAGTAATAATAATAATATTAATAATAATAATAATAATAATAATAATAATAATAATAATAATAATAATAATAATAATAATAATAGTAAGGCCGCAACAAACTCGTTTTTGCCGAACCCCCAGGCAGCGAATTCACTATGTATTTCCGGCCTCATTACTTTGGATTTGTTTTTTAGCTGAGGTTACTCTATATGCTCCCGTTTATCTTACGCTCTCTCAACAGTCGAGTGTTCAACCTGTTAATCAACAAGACCAATTGCCTGTTCACGTGAACCGCACAATCAATTTCTTTATCCAGATTTCTCAATCACATCCGGGGAAAACCTGTGTACCAACGTTCACCATTTCCAGCTGCGTAAGATGAACTAATAGTGAATGTCCACCCAGTGTGAATCTTTGTGTTAAAATGCTACGTTTGGATCACGAAATATCTTCCTTTTGCTGTAAATCACGATAGAAAAAATCTGTTCGTTTTAAAATCTCGTGGATGGATATCAGGACGACCCTATGGATGCATTTTGATTGGGTGTTTGTAATGGAGCATGACCGGAAAGGCATAGCAAACGGTGAGGATCGGATGAAACGGAGTACAAAGATGTGTATGGTTGTAAATTCGGTCAACACACGGAAGTTATTCTAATGCAACCTGATACCATTCGCAGCATTTTACCAGCATGTGGCTTTAAATTCAGAAATAAAGAATGCCTTCGGTACCTAGGCCAGATATAAATAAACGATAAACCAAAACTTAAACGGGGGATAATCACTAAAATCACAAACGAAATTCCTGACAACTCAGTCAGTTTAAGAATTTCACGAGGACAACAGAAAACACGACTGACCCGGTTCATGATCCCAGTCCAATTCAATCGGTGAATCAACCTGGGTAGCACCGGATCCGAATATATCGACTGATGGGCCAAGAACAAAGGAAAAGACAAACAAACAATGCCAGGTTAGATGCGAGATGAATGAAACACGATGAATCCAAGTGAACGCGAAAGAATTGGACGACCAATATCAGGTGATATCCAGACAAACGAGGAACAAAGATAAACGAGGGCACCGAACGATATAATGATGCACGTGAGCTAATCGAATCAAAACTTCTCATCCGTTATCACTTACGATGAACAACAAAGACCATTACACGTTAAACATGTAACCTTCTACCATTTGCATGATTACACTAGCACTGGTAGACCCTCCTTACCCCTGAAGACCGAGCTTGCTAAGTTGACATTCAGTTAGTTATCAGGATTTGTTTTCGGGGAACGTATAAACAAAGTTCCATTGGTCATGTTTGGAATACAGTTAGCGGAAGACACTCTGGCCCATTTATTACGGTACTTCTCCGGGAGTCAACCTACGCCAAACGGCAACATAGTCCCATGCTTACCAAATAAAAAAGAAACGATGTAAAGCTCGAAGCTGCACTAACAGGTCAAGCACTTTGACCACCCTCCATCGTAGCACAGAGATAAACACAATCTGCGTTATTCAGTGATGTCTCAACGTTACGATGTAGCTTCCACGGACCCTGCCACCAACATGAGAATCCTTTATTGAAACATTTTCTATAATCGGTGGTGGTGGGGTTGTTTCCAACTAATTTAGGTTTCTATCACAGGGATCACGTGTTTCTCTGTTTGATGGGTGGAAAACTAGACCAAAACATCGCATGTCGGGGAACGCAAACAGGGGATTGGGACATTATGACTTTTCTAATATTGTGGACCTCGGAGGAATCAAATAGATTTGAATGGGTACTTTGATGATCTTGCTTGAATAACAATACCCTTTTCATGGCAAATTCTACAGGCGAGAAGTGTGTCTATAGTTGAGAAACACTATCCACATGTAAGGCCTACATGTGTGTAGTAATAGGGGACTTCATTTGAACTGATAACTTACAAAAGGTTAATTTCTGAATACGGTTATCTGAAAGTCGTTCCATCACTTATGCTACCCACTGCATTTCTGTTCATGGAACAGACCAAAATTCGACCTTTGTTTGTTAAGATAGGATGATCAATCAAAGGGTTGTAGCTGGGATATTGTTAAATGGGAGAGATCTAGGTGGTAGTGGTATGGTTTGAACACACGACCTAAGAGGAAGTATGGTTTAATCAGCGCCGACAAGTCAAACTAGATTTGTGAATCTCCTATAAAGTAGACAGTCTGTATAATCTCACAGAATCCGAGCGATTGGTAAAAACTGATGGTAATCAGAAACATTATAACAGCAATAATCTGAAACCATTATTTTACTTATATAAAAAATATCGCTGTACCGCGTGTTTCCAGAACCAGACTAGATAAATCGAGAGAAAAATATAAAGGCCAAACACGTTCGAAATTACCGACGGAGATCATAGACAGTTTGATATCGTTCAGCTTAATACCACGTCTATCTTTGAAGGTTGTGGTGTGGCAAGCAAGCAAGTTCAAGCCCCATAGCAGTTATCACAGCTTCACAGTAGATTGTTGTGAACAAGGACGTGTAAAAATTACACTACATATCTTCAATCATTAGCGGGCTGAAAATGGAATCAACTTAACCCATAGATTTCTCTCTCTCCCAGTCTGATGAAGTGAATTAGGCAACTCCACAGGGACGAGAATGGATGATGCACAGCTCGTTGCGAAGTCCAGGTACGACCAACGTATATATGCATGCATGGTGTGAGGCAATTCAACTGCACCAGGTTCAGAGCTTTGTATCACATATTTCATGCCCTGCATCAAAAGCGAGTTGCCATAACCGTAATTGATGAAAAAACAAAGTCGCAATAGTGTGATTGACCTGGCTGAAAATCAAATGATAATAATTATTAATGCATATACTGATTTGAATCTGAAAACAAAAAAAACTACAAATGCTTCGTCCTCACTAAATATAGCTGGAAGGAGTTGGCAGTTATCCATCGAAAAATATAGGCGATGAACACACAAACAGATTCAGCCTAGATAAAATTTCGGGTAAAATACGTGTGTGAAAAGGCAGTGAATTCATCATCAGAAAGCTATAGAAGAACGAAATCGGAGTGAAGATAACAAAGTCGGATACTGGTAACCAAATCGGATCGCTTACCGGGATCTGCGGGCACATGGGATGGAGTGAGACGCAAATTGAGGTGGGACGGGCGAACGACCGGTGTGGTTCGTCGAAACTGTGGAAATTCACTGGCCGACTTATCGGCGACTTTGTTTACATTCACGTTACTCGGGATCACAACCGAGGACGGTCGCTGTTTGCCTGGTGCGGACTTTTTCCTATTGGAATTACGTGGCCAGAGGCTGCGTGCTAACCGGGCCAGTTCCAGGCCGTCTACTTCTTCATCGCATGAGGCTGGGACCGCAGGTTCCGTCGCCGGCCGACCACCAGACTGCGCGGCCAGACTGTAAGGACCAGTGTTTGGCAGATAAACAGCTGCAGTCTGGAAGAGCGTACGCAAAACGGAATCAGTTGCCAGCAAAGTTAATCGAACCAGAAAAGTTCCAAAATGAACATTTTGTTTTTAACTTCGAGTAATACGAACGAAGAATCAATGTTAGTTACAATGAAGAAATTATGCGATTGTTTCTCAAGAAAATTCACAAGGATTCATCCCTCAATATGTTTACAAGGAGAGGCGCAAGCTGAGTATGTGGAAAAAGCATTATTTCAACCCTGTTTTAGGCAGAAAACGAACTGGCCAAAACCACCCGAGTGATCACATCTTGATGGTCATAATATTTCTCATCAGTTGAGTTTGAGGTGGAAAAGATCTGCTTCATTCTACCTCCTAAAAGACTACTGTGAGAAGTCATTTCTGAACACAATGCACACACTCATCTACTGAGTAGTAAAGCGAAGTGTCACAATCACAGATTCCGTTCTAGTTGAAATACAATGGACGCCGTGTGGAACCGAGATGGAGACAAGCGTGGAAAGGTACTACTAATTTTCATGAGTAGTGTATAGCAGTAAAAGCGGAAAAACTTGTAGTTCCTTGTGGTGGATTTCGCCTGCAAATTACACAGCACGTTAACACATTGTTTGGATACCAGTCTGNGTGTTCGCCGTGAAATACCACCGTTCAGGCTTAAATTACGAGTTTCACTCATTGGTATCCTATTTATTTAACATATCTGAGCAATGCACTGGAGTATTGGATGAAGAAGATTTTCAATTGTGTTATTTTGCTCGCTAATCCAGTTATACAAATTTTATTAAAAATCTACAGTTCTTATTTCTTTCATTTTTAAGCAACACTCGGTAAGTACATATATGTGACTGCATGCGTATTGTTGATCCATTCGGTCTTTAGGCATGTTCGTGTGTGCACTCGGGCCCTATGGTAAATGTGCGTGTGTGTNNNNTGTGTTTCGGTGACGTGTTGTGCAACTGTGACCGCTGACATTCCCACTGATAGCCGGACCTGCACAGAAGAAATGTGACCTTCAGTGGGGCGGCTGGACAATCACAGAGGGTACAAAGCGTGGCAAGAACAAAAAGTTCAACAAGATGACAATTGACAGTGAAGACAAATGGAGGAATCTATCAGTCAGACGACTGCAGCGCGCATGCGACATTTGAACTGCATGCCGTGATGCACCGCTATGAACTGGTAGACAGCTTCGTGATCAGCGACGTCACAATACACTTTTACGAAGTACTAAGGGTTCGTAAGTCTTGGTGATCCGCTAGCTAAAGGCGCCATAAAAATGCCACATTTCAGGAGTTTATTATAAAATTTAATTTTATAATTTAACTTCATGGTAAGCAATTCGTTCACCATGTACGTTCAAATTCATTCATATTTGTTCTGGTAAAACACTGATTACTCTCAATCCGCATTCGTTGATTGATAGAATAGGTTGTCAATAGATAGTAACCAAATTCGGAATACGAAATTATGTGATTAACGGTTTTGATAATCGAAAAACGGAAACCTTCCTCCATCGGATATGGCTAATCATGACGGTCGTGAGCAAACAAAGTCCCACTTCGAATAAGCGAATACAAAACCACACACACACACACGCAATGTACTTCTCCCCCCCCCTCCAAATAAAATAAAACAAGAAAGTCTGTGTCCAAACTCATTTATGTAGCACAAGGAAAACAAACTAGAATTTGGAAAAAATTGAAGCCAATAAAGAGAACGAAATAGGGAGATACCGATCCGCCAGTGTGAACAAACAGTAAGGTGTGTTAGACACACAAATGTAACACGCATTTATAAGACCCTTAGATTCGATAAACCAATGAACATTCGACGTTTGGGGAGTAAAAAGGCAGCAAATCGAAAACAATCAAGTCTGATGGTCGAGGGTCGGTGGGGAGGTATAAACTGATAACAGACTGGTATGAACATGATTTCTCTATCACGACCAAACCGAAGGCCACTGAGCCCCAATCACCGAACCACATGCACATACATACGAGGCCAATGTCCTAACCCAGCGTAACCCTGGATGAGTCCAGTCACGTTTTGCTTATGTTCGACGACAGTGCAGCGGAATAGACCACACAATGAGTCACATCAACCGAGGACCTTCATCCCACCCACGCAGTTGCTACTCCGCTTCGTGATTCAAGCGTTTCCGACTGTAAATTAAATGTGAACAAAAAATGGTCGTACTGAGAGTTCAAAGGGTGAGAAGAGCTGTTTATCAAAAGTTTATTAACTGAAAATTCTCCCTGTACGAAGTTTTTGATACAATCGAATTTAAAGCGAGCGGCACGAAGCTTCCCTATAGAGTAATTGGCAGATTAACGGAAAACAGCTCACTTCGTCTACTGGACTTCATTTCAAACGCGGTTATCGGCATTTTTCAATAGATGAGACATTAGCCCCAAATCGAAAAACTACTCTAAACTGCATTGCAACAATTTACGGCATAGTTTCTGGTTCCATCGAGAGAGGGAACTTGAAATTTGTAAATTCAATTATCGGGAAATCGATCATTGTCTGGCGATAGCCCATACGCTCTATGCTGAGAGTCATTCTGGATAACTTAGACCGATAAAACGTTTGACAAATAGCCTACAGTATCCACCAGATTCGAAAACTAGCCGGCTCAGTGGATACGAATTCGGTTTCGGTTTTTACAAGCATTTACTATGCACTGTCATGCGACAATTTTGGCTGCTGTCATCCGGTTAAACACCTAATCGACCGATGAGAAAGGAATCAAAAATAATTTCACGCTAAGAGCACACGTCTCATTTTCAACCCACAATTGTTTGTGAGTAGTGATGCAAAATATACGATTTTATTAGTGACTATCAAAATAGGAAACTAGTAGGTACTGAAGCAATACGACTCCCGACACTCAGCCACAACGCCGTGTCTACGAAAGTTGTTTAGGTTGGTCACACGATCCCCAGCCCGAATGCGACCGATTTGAGGGATAGCCCTGGTTAGCGTTTTACAACCTCATGCCAGGTTTTCGATCTCATCCCACTGAGCCTTATTTCATTTACCTTGTGGC